AGCACTGGTGGTTTCCAACTATGGACCTGCAGATGGAAGCCCAACTCTCCTCTCTGGTGGCCACCCACCAGGGAGCTGCGGTCAGCACCCCCATTCCATGAAGGGTGTGCAGGCGGCCTCTCATGGCTGGGGGCGCCTGGAGGAAGGCCGTGCGGAGACTCGGCTCAGTGCCGGTGGGTTGTGGGCTGGGAGCCGACGACGCGAATTAAGTCCTCTTCCCACAGCGGCAATTCTCAGCTTCAGAGGAGGAGGAGGAGGAGGGGGAGGATCTCCTTGCAATGGAGTCAGACGAGAGATGTGCGGGCTGAGCTGAGAGACCGGCTGGGAGACTCTCTGCGAGGAGAGACCCAGGCAGAGGAAGCGTGGGCCTAGAAGTTGGACGAGACCGGGAAGCATCCTCGAGGGGGAAGAACTAGGCCCGCAGACCTGTCTCCAGCTCTCTCTCTGGCCTCCAGAACCGTCCGATCACAAAGCTGTGTTGCTTAAAGCGGCAAGAAGAAACACATCCCTTCTTATTTTTAAAGGGATGGATCCCATCCAGGAGCTCAGCCAAGCAATTTGATCAGATCCATTTTTGTTTCTTTGTTTTTAACATAAAATCTTAGGGTGCTTTCAGGAAAAGTTTACCCAGCAGATTGGGGCTTCCTGTAGCAAGCTCTAGACAGTTTGGCTCCTGCTGTGAGCAAAGAGCCCCCTGACTTCCGCCATGAGCTCCCCCTTGTTCCCCATTCTCCTCTGAATCCGCCTCAAAGCCTGGCCGACCGGAAAGCCGCTTACTGGGTCTCCTTGTATTTACTGACGATGCCAGGCCTCCGACTGTGTGGATGGTCCCAACAAGCTGTGGGTCACCCTGAGGAGAAGGGGAATTCCTGAACACTTCACTGTGCTCGTGCAGAACGTGTACCTGGATCAAGGGACAGTGGTACAAACAGCACAAGGGCATACTGCATGGCTTAACATGAGAACAGGTGTGTGCGCGTGTGCGCACTGGGTCCTGTCACCATACATACTTATCTGCCAGAAGAAGCCTGCTCCTAGCACAATCACTACGGGTTTGGTAGGCGCAATTGTACAGCGATAATAAGTAAATATTATAGTAAAGTTATAGAG